ACTCTTCCCTCAAAGCTTAATTAACATTCAGCACTTCAACAAAATCACAGCTCCTATAGAATAAATAGGAAATACTAACAAACAAGATGCTATACTATCGAGCCCGCCGCCTAGCGCTACAGGGGCCCCTCTCCTCACCTCCACCAGGCCGATGCTCGCCTCCCCTGCCACCGATATCACAATGCCAGACTGATCTGCCATCTTGGCTCACTTTCCTCAAGCCAAAGTCTGCCAAACGGCAGTAAATGCGAGCAAAGTTTTGCCTGCCGTAGCTCCGGCCAGGGGAAAGGCAAAGTAGTGCTCCTCGGAGAACAGCGCGGCGACTACTCGCGCTTCAGCATGAGTTCAGAGTGCTGGCCGTGATACACGCCCTGCTGGTGGTTAGACTGCGGCCCGTTGTCGAAGAGCGACACCTTCATGCGCTTGTCCTTGGCGCGCCGGTTCTTGAACCAGAACTGCACGTTCTTGGGCTCGAGGCGGGGGAACTTGCACCGGTACGGCATGTGGTTCAGCTCCTCGGTGTACTTGAGGATGAGGTTGTGCGGCGGGTGCGTGTGGTGCTTGAACCACTGCTCCAGCCGCGGCACCTCGCTCACGGGGTCGATGAAGGTGCGGTTGCGCTTGCGCCGCTCGTCCGACGCCGACAGGTTGAGCCCCTGCTGCTGCTGCGGCGCCGACGCCGGCTGGCCGGGCACGCCCTGGCCGCCGCCCGGGTGCGCGGCCGCCAGCCCCGGCAGGTACTGGCTCATGTACATGATGCTGTGGCTGAACATGGGGAAGGGCAGGGCGCCCGCGCCCGGTGGCCCGCACGGCGACGGCGAGCGGAAGCCGTGGTGGTGCTGGTGGTAGCGCTCCAGCTGCTGCTGCTGTTGCTGCTGCTGCAGCTCCGACCCGGCGCCGCTGCCGCCGCCGCAGCTCTCGGAGCCCTCGTCCTCGTCCTCGTCGTCCTCCTCCATGTCGGACATGGCCTCGCAGTCCTTGACGTGGTTGTTGTTATTGTTGTTGTGGCCCGTGGACGCGGCGTCGTCGTCGCCGGCATTCGGCTCCTGCTTGATGCTCATCTGCAAAGGGAGAAGAGGGTTAAAGGATCACGTTGCCGGCACAGGCGCAAGGGGGAGGGAAATGCAAGCAGAGATACTCACCCGACTGTCGTCGTTGGTGACGTCAAGGTCCATGTCCTTGGGGTCCTTCATCTCCTCATCCTTCTTCTCGTCGTCCTTGTCCTCCTCGCGGCCGTGGTCAGAGCCCCGGTTCATGATGAGGCTGATGGGGCTGTTGCGGTCAGCGTGCGAGTCCGCGTCGTCCTGCTGCGATCGGTCTCCCTGACCACCGGGGCCAGCAGGGCCGCCGCCCTCGCCGTCAGAGTCGTCCGAGACCACGCTGTGCGGGCGGGGCATCCTGGAGGAGAAAAGGGGTGGGGATGAGGAACTCGGCTCACAAAAAGGGTTGTGGTGCTGTAGGGCCAGTAGTAGAGACTTACTCGACGTGCGGGACGCGGTGCATGTGCGCCATGGGCGGGGAGCTGAGCGGCCAGGGGGGCATGCCGCCCATCCCCATGCCGCCCATGGGCCCCATGGGCAGGAGACGGCCGCCGGGCCCCACCGGGTGGCCGGGGTGCGGGCCCTCGGTCAGCAGCGTCTCCGGGCTGAGGAAGTGCGGTGGTGCGCCCGAGCCCGGCGGGCTGTGGCTGTTGCTGCTGTAGCCGTTCTGCGACATGTAGTGGCCGCCTGGAGAAGAGGGTGAGTCAGGTCGTGTCGGGCATAGGTCATCATCGACGGGGAGGTACCAAGTCCCTAAAGGCAGTGCACTTACCTGGGCCGCTGCTGCGGATCTCGGCGCGCTTCTGGGCGGCGCGAGCGTTCTTGAACCAGTAGACGACGTTGTTGACGTCCAGGGGCTTGCGGCCCCGCCGCGACTCCAGGCTGTTGAGCTCGCGCACGTACTGCTGAATCTGTCGGGAGGACGAGGCAAACAATGCAGATGTTAGGCGCGTTCCTTTAGTAGCCGTCAAAGGATTGTAATTTTCCCCTCAAAAAAGGATTTTTGGAAAATTTTGAAAGATATTTTTTTCGAAAGAATTTCAATGTTATGAATTTCTTTACATTTCCGGAAAAATTTCGGACTTTAAAATCCTCGACTTCGACCTACCTGTTGCCTGCTGGGATGCTGGTTCTCCGCGAACCACCGCTGCAGTTTGGGCAGCTCAAGCTCGGGGTCGAACGAGGTGCGCATGCGCGTCTTGGGCGTCGGGTACTGGCTCTGCACCGTCTGCAGCGCGGGGTGCACGTCCTGCATCAGCTTGTGCGAGAGAGCGACGGCGTCCATGCCGCCGGCGCCCAGCGGCGGCACGCCAGCGCCCCGCCCGTCCGCGCCGCCGGCGTACAGCGAGAGGCCCGAGGCGGGCGACAGCGCCGACAGGTGCGCGCGGTGCACCTGGCGCGGCGAGGGCGTGCGCCGCGGCTGCTGCTGCTGCGGCGGAGGCGGTGGCGGCTGCGAGGCCGGCAGAGGGTTGGCCAGCTGCTGCGACTGCTGCTGCTGCGGCTGCCGGTGGTGCGGCGGCTGCTGCGGGTGCTGCTGCTGTTGTTGCTGCTGCTGCTGCAGCTGCAGCGCCCACCAGTGCTCGAACTTGCGGCGGACGTCCTCGGGGGGCTCGGACAGGCGGTCGGCCGCGCCGCCCGCGCTGCCGCGGCACAGCTGGCTCAGCGTCAGCTGCGGAGGAGACGAAGATGGCGAGGGTGAGCGAGGATGAGTACAGAGTGCGGGTCCCCGGCCCGCAGGCAGGCGGTAGCAGTCTCGGAGTAAGCCCGCGCAAACACCACGCGGCTAATCTCGCGGTTAGCGTCTGTTTGTGTGCACACACACCCGGCCGGGTGATCCCGCCCGCACACACGACGGCAACGGGGTGATGTGTGAAAGTTGAAACTGTGTCGCCGCGCGTCAGCATATATAAGGCGCACTACCTACTCACATGCTGTGAACGTCCAAGGGAAATTACTGAAGAAACATATTGCAAGGAACCAAGTTTGGCTGGGATTTCAAAAGCCTTGACCAGTACCTCCTTTCCCTGTTCCTAAAACATCCAACTTATCCCACGTTCGCCCTCCAAATTTTGCAGACGCCGGGATGATGTCTCAAAGTTGTAAGACGCAACAACAGAAAAAAGGAGTGGCAGTATATACGTTGGAAAGACTGAGGGTCTGATCCCTCGGCAAACTCCTAAGCGCCCCCAGCCAGCGCCCTGCCCGACAGCGACGGCTGGGCCGTCAGAGCGGGTTAGCATTATCTGCCGGCAGATATATTGCACGGCACGCAAGTGGATCCGGTACGGTACGGCCTTATCTACTCGGCGCACTGTTGCCCCCGAAACAGGAAAGGCTTTTCGTAAATAACGTTCAAATGCGATTTAAATTCCGATGTTTTGTTGCTGGCAGTTCATTTCTTACGTGGCATTGTTTTTCGTTTGTTTCGCGATAATTTCTGAAAAAGAGGCCATCCCTCACCTCGTCGAGCGGGCAGCCCGAGCCTAGCAGCAGGGAGCGCGTCTGCGTGAGCAGCAGCCGGAGCATCTTGTCGCGCATGTCGGCCAGCATGCTGGGCCGCGACCGGAAGATCTGGATCCGGAGGGTGGCCACGGTCGTCAGCTCGCCCAGGATGTCGCCGACGGACACCAGCGGGCCGTCCGCGATCTTGTCGAAGCTCAGCGGCTTCCAGTTCTTGATGACCACGGAGCCTGTGGGGGCGGTAAAAAGTGGGGCGTTTTAGAAGGTCGCGTCACGCCGTCGTCGAGCCACACGTGGCAGCATAGAGTAACACACTTGCAGGTGCGTGTCACAAACTCACCTGTGGCGGCGGCGGCCGTGTCGCGCGTGTAGCCCAGCTGGGCCAGCGCCACGGGGACGAGGTCGTCGAACGCCGTCGAGGCCGGGATGATGACGTACGAGTCCGTCTCGACGACGGCGGGCCTCTTGGGGCGCTCGACGCTGCACACGGCCTCCACCACGCAGTGCACGGGCAGCGACTTGCCTGGAAACACAAGGTCGTATCGAGGACGTCGTCAGGCTTGGGTGTATATAGTGTGTAGGGCTAAGGGTAGTCGCCGGTGCAGCAGTGTGTGTGTGTGTGCTGGGCGGGGGTTGAGGCTGGTCCGGTCTGACTAGCCTACTTCTTGCAGGAAGCCCCGAGCGCCTCAGGGGCCCCGCGTGCTCCCCCCCCC